CACAGAATTAAAGAATGACATTATATGATAAAGAGGTTATCATGCTTGTGTGTTTGAGGATGGTACATATCCTGTATTAGGAATAAACACTATGTATTTAGCTCGCCAAGGCTCGCTAAATACAATGTTTATTCCTAATGCAGGATATTTACCATCCTCAAACACACTCGCGTGATAACCTCTATGGATTGTACATGAAACAGTTACCGTGTACATGCACCACATAAAACCCAAAACGGTGTTATGTATACTCTGTATACTCATAGTGACGTTAAGCCATTGTACGTGTTACATGGCACGTGACCTTTAAGTCAATAGTATCAGGGGCTTCCACGGTGTTTTCGTATTTAGAAGGCCATTTTTTACATACGGGTATTTATTTTCTCCCTAATTAATCAATCTAATCGTGGCAGCCACTTTAGTTATTTATTATTGACCAAACATCTTATGTCTGTTGTGGAAACACTTGACAATACTTTGTTTTGAGTAAGCCGAGTCAGTGTGGCAACTGATATTATTCAAAGGTTATGTTAATATCATTACCTTAAGAGGATTATGATTGTAATATCGCTTGCGTCAGTAAACAGATTACCGAATGGATCATACAAAGGTGAAAACTCCCATGTGGTTGAATGAAACATTAAGGCATATATTCATCAGGCTTCTATTATTCGGGGAGTGTTTATGTTCGAGGTGAAGAAAAGCAAACCAGTGTTTGTTAACCGACCCTATCATCCCATTCTGATAAATATATGACATCAACGCCAGAGCATGGTTGTCTGCGCGCACAGATTCTGCACATCAGTCAGATAAGACCCATGTTGACATACGATGCGGCACATCAGCTCGTGAGATCACTTATCCTATCAAGGTTGGACTATGCTAACAGTCTGCTTTTTAATATCAAACAGGATCTATGTAGCAAATTGCAACGTGTGCAGAATGCTGCTGCCAGATTGATATGTAGACGAAATAAGCGTGCACATGTCACTCCTTTATTAAAATCATTACACTGGCGTCCAATAAGATCTAGGATTGAATACAAAGCCGTGTGCATTGCATACCAGTGCTACTATAGTACAGCACCTTCCTATCTGAGTGAACTTCTTACCCTACACCAGCCAGCACGAGATCTCAGATCAGCACATAAACTCCAGTTTAGTATCCCTATGGTCTCACTCAAAGCATTCGGCAACAGAACTTTTGCTCACACCGCATCTGTGCCCTGGAATTCCCTTCCAGTGGAAATTAGGCAATCTCCAACTCTGGACACTTTCAAGACAAAACTAAAGACTTATCTCTTTAGATGTGTCTATGACCCTTTGTGAGGCGCTATGAGCGACTACGTAGACGGGAATGGCGCTGAAGAAATGGACTTTATTATTATTATTATTCCATTGGGCGTAATTGGATCTCTGTAAATAAATAAGGGACCATCTATTTCATAGTTGAGGAGGAGGCAAATTGCCCCAGGAAATGCTTGAAAAAAAAATTGATTATGCTTCAGACTGTTGGAAAAAAGAAATTGTTAGTCACAAAAACATTGATGCGAGACGTTTAAACATTTCCACTCTCCATACAAAATACCAGTACAACCCCATATGAATGGACCACTGAAAATCAGTGATGACACCATGTGTTTGCCTAAAAGGTAAGCATGTCCTTCCCTACCGGTAGCACCTGCTATGCGACGTCAACCTGTAAACAAACCAGACAATCAAGTGATCGATGAACCACAAACCTTGCTGATTTTGTTGAAACTAATAAAAACGATATGTTAATTTTGAATTACGTCTGCCGTGTACAAGTGCAGGGATTTTGCTGCTTATGAAAAACGTTAAGAAATATATTCGTTTGGAACACCGTGTAGCGCAGTCTCCGCCCAAATATTTCTTTTGTGGTTGACTCAGCACAGATAAATGCTACTGAGCTTATGATGAAACTCGGGGACTTCAGTCCATCAGCAGAAGCATTGACCCATAAAATTAATAGTTTGGTGGAAAATAGCCAAACGTTATGTTTTGTGTTAATAGAGTAAATGAATAGATTGTTTGATTGTGTTCATCAAATAAGTAGTTTGTTGGATACAGCTTGGAAAAATGTAAATTGTTCTAACAAATGAATGTCTAAAATTGTACACTTCAATAAATATAAAATGGTTGGCAAAAGAAAGTATAGGTCGAGTTCCATGATCGATAAAAAATAACAAGAAGAGGTTTTGTTGTGAATTATAATATAATCTAGGGAGGGGTAACAAATGATTGATCAACCACAGTTTGAATGAAATTGTGCAATCACAGGTAATGTTAGCTCAAAGTTAACAATGGTGGGGTAAGAAATTTCATTTTCAAAAGTCTTAAATGTCACAAAAAATTGTCAGACACACTACACGTTAATTGTCGACACAGTTGCCTTCAATAGCGTGTATGACCTCCAGCTGCCTCAATGCATGCTGTGATACGCCGCCTCAGTCTCCTGATGACGTGGACTGGAATCCGTTGCAACTCGTCTCTAAGGGCCTCCTGCAATTCTTGTCTGTTGATGGGAGGCTGATGGTGTGCTCTCATCTGTCTGACAAGATGGTCCCACATATGTTAAATAGGATTCATATCGGGTGAGTGGGCAGGCCAGGGCAAAACGTCAGAAACGTTAGAAAGTTCCGAGTCAGTCTTGCAGCATTGGGCCTGGCATTGTCGTGTTGAAACAATGGCCCCTGCTGTTGGTTTTGTAAGAACGGAAGCACAACTGGCTGCAAAACTTGGTCTCTGTACTGCACAGCGTTCAGGTTTCCCTGTATAATCACCAAATCAGTCTTCTGATCTCCACAAATACCGCCCAACACAATGACACCTCCCCCGCACAATGGATAGAGCTCTCGAATACACGCCGGAGCCAAACGTTCCCCTCTGCGTCAATAAACTCGTTCTCTGCCGTCATTTCGAAACAAGTTAAACCGACTTTCATCAGTAAACAGCACTCGACGCCAATTTCCCAATTGCCAACGTCAAACCTGCCTCGCCCATCGCAGTCTCAGGCGTCGATGTAGAGCAGTCAGTACCATTCCTCGGGAAGGACGATACGCTTTGATTCCAGCAGCACGAAGTCGTCGTAGTTCTGTACGTTGGCTAATGGGATGTCCCAACGCTGTTGCTGCCGTCGCCGTTACGAATCTGTTTCGCAGGTGAATGAGCCGTATCTGGCCGTCTTCCAGTGGTGTTGTCACTCGTGGTCGTCCGGTTCTAGGCCTGTCCTGTGTCCTCCCTGTATGCCTGTACCGTTGAATCAGCCTGGCTACTGTCAATGGTGTACAACCAAACCTTCTGCCAATTTGGACCTGTGTTGCCCCCATTTCGGCCATACCGATCTCTCTCTCTCTCTCTCTCTCTCTCTCTCTCTCTCTCTCTCTCTCTCTCTCTCTCTCTCTCTCTCTCTCTCCTGTGACAGTCGTGGCATTTCTATTGTGTGCTTTCATCACGTGTGGTAAAACCCTGCAGACGAACGCATTTATACTGCTAACATGCACATGCAGTTTATGCCCCAGGCGGGAAACCTGTTTCACCATTTATTTTGTCACCGCACGAGCGCCGTCAAAGGTGGCGCGTTCGGGTGAGGTGGTTTTTGGTACCTGTTCCTGGGCAGTCATATTCCCAATACCCACTTTCCACTAGTTATCGCTGTTTTTAGGAAAATTACAAATTGCTAACCTATACTTTCTTTTGCCGCTTAGTTTATGTACCATTTCTCATTTTCACAGATTCATGATAATAAATAGGTCTTCTTCCATGGGGGACTTTGATTTCACAAGCACGCTAATCGTCGAAGACATTTTGTCATTGTGGTTTTCATCCAACAATAATCTGCCACGCTGTGATTTGACTTTCACCTCTATTTTGTCTTTTTACACCCAATGGAATCTGTTACGTCAGATACTCGCGACTGATTATTCTCTGGTGTTGACGATATATTTTTTTATAACTATTCAAAGCGACATTAATTCCGAATTTGCTCCCTCACACGTGTTATTGCTCTATGTCGAAAGTTATTTTGACCATCTATTGTTACGTAACGGTTCATATGAATATTCCTATTGATCCATGATGCAACAATATGATTATTAATAACCCGTATATGAAAATATAATGACATGTGTATAATGATGAAGTATAGTAGTATATGCATCATCACAAAAGTCTTTCATTCATACCACATTATTATCTTGCACCATCAATTACAGTGTAAGAAACCGATATTTTAATTTCTGGTGAAGGGTGGTAGGAATAAACAATGATTTGTTCCTCGATAATGCATGAAATAAATTCTTTAGGTTTTACCCTCAAAAGCAATTGTTCACTTAATGCCACCCCCGATTATAAAAAGGTTGACCCTTAGATGACCTTGGCCTGTACGTTTGTTTGATACACATCACTGAATATATTTCAATAACCAAACCAGGTGGTCATGGTCTACAATCGTTCCCTTTGTGTCGGACAACGGGACATATGATGGTCGGAGTAACATACACATAAAAACACAGTGTAATATGTGTGTACAAGTGTACATGCCCTATTGTCCAACGTCGGAAAGTTGACGTCTACACTGACCTACCATATCGCACACGTCAGTCGTACAAAAGGGTCAACATGTGTTCTAATGAAGTTATTTCCGATAGACACTGTGCATATAATTTCGACACGTAGATACGTTTGATCCGAACATTGGATGTTAATTCACCTTTTGATAAGGGCTCCAATTGTCGTGCACTTTCCGAATGCTGTTTATTCAGTGGTGCGATTGCCTTCATTCCTTCGAATCAAATATGGGAGAGTAAGTGATACGGAACAACATAAGAAAGGACGAGCGATTACCTTAAGAGGTCATGAAGCTTGAAAATCAGGTCCATTATTCCTAGGAATAATCAGATTATTGTGGACGGACCATTGCCCCAGCATGTATAAGTTCTGACGTCGGACACGCTCGTAGTTAGTAAGTTTCGACGTTCGCGTAACTACCAGACAACACAGTGTTGTGACCTGGGCGCATTTGACATGGTCTTTGACAAATTGCTGATTGCTGTTACCCTCATGAAAAAAGCATTACTTAGTAGCTAGTGTCTAGTTTGCGGAATCGAGAATACTGGAGCGGATGAGCAGAGTTTCGACATATCCTGCAGATTCAAAATGAAAATATCTTACAGACTCAGGACTTTTCTATCGTCATTATTTGTACGATTGATGCTTCTCACGCACACGTTAATAGCATGTTGGAGAGCGGCATCTTCCACCAACAATGAATACTACTGGCTGCTGGCCGCACCGATTACTTTGCAACTTATTGAATTTATGGTGATGGTCACGTTCAGGAAAGGAGTCGAAGGATTATGGTAAGCTCCTTTTGTTTTGAATAATGACAATAGTAAAACTGTTTCATTGCCATATTTAGAAGTTTGCTAAGTAATACTAACGTCAAGATGGATGACGACTTCTTTATTCTATTACGATAATCCTTATGTCGTTTTCAAGCAAAAATAAAGGAGTTGTCATCCATAAAATGTTTTGTCATTACTGACAGTCGTAAAAATGATAAATCGGAATTTACCATTTTGAGTGTGATTGGTTAAGCAATAGCCTAGCAATAGCCTAGCTAGCATGTTAGCATAAGGGACACCACGAATGGAAGCAGAACCAGCACGAGGAACGAACGCTTCCTCTATTCTCCGCAAATAGTGTGCCAGAGGGTTTCGCTTTGGCCACACTTTTTAATTTGGTGTTTGGATTTTGATAGTGAAAACTTTGGTAGGTAGGTCCAAAAATAAATATATATAAATTGCATTGTACGGGATTGTTTAATCATCTAAAAGTTTGTTTTTAATGTGTAGGTGTTAAACTTGGACTGGTTTGGGTCCTTACATATAGTTTTAACCTAAAATCTTGTAATAACGATCGTTGGAATTTATTTTTTGTTATAATAAAACCCCATGAATTATTTTTATTGTCACCGCAATCTTTACCGTCAGCGGTATAAAATAACCTTTAGTCTGATTTTTCCGATTCCGAATAAAGGCGGATCTGTAAACCAAGCATAGAAATGTAAGGCGATTTGGGTTTGTTTATTATAGGTTGAGAGCCACTGTTCAAAGTTTCTTTAACAATCAATTAATCTGAGGAAATAATAATCTGTAATAATTATAATATAAGTTTATCTGTCTTGATTCTGTGTAAACTATTATTATATTGACAGGGAAATTTACTCAGTTTTGAACGTATGTTATCAAGATGTCATTAAGTCTACTGTTGAGACAGAACAGGTCCATGGCAGTAAATGCTTCTCGTTATAGCCGATTGAAGTAAGAATCAAGTTGGCGAAAAGTGTGATTTGGCTAATTGTGTCTATCGTGCCCCGAAGGATTTGATTTCTTGTGCAATCTCCCACTGGGCTATTCCGATTCAAACTTTCATAATTCATGGTAATTTACATTCGTCCACATGTCTTATGTCGACAAATACTTTGAGGTTTCTCTAATTGATCAAATTTAAAGATTTCCTTCGTTTGGAATACAAATATTCTTTTTCTTAGGTTTTGATTTGTAGTGAATAATCAGTACAGAAACCCTAACGTTTGGATTAAACTGAACTGGTTATTACAAAGGAATATTTAAGAAATGGCCTGATCCTTTGTGAGAAAAAAGCCTATTAACTGTACATAAACAAAACGATCATAATGTGGTTGACCTAATTATAATGTTTACATAATTCATGTCACGATCGTGTATGTTAAGAAGGCTGTGAACGTGTATGTTTCCTTCCTTTTCATTAAAAAATAGTTTGAGATGATTTCCAAAGAAGTAATTACAATCTTAACGTCACACTTAAACACGGTGAAGCAAGCTGTTACTATCCAATTCGCAGTTTAAGAATTTAAAATTTATTGTATATATCCAAGATCGGTTCCAAATTCAATTTAGCGCGGTTAAATCAACAGGTAACCTAGCTGTACATTGAAAACAGAGTATGTTTATCTCCTGATTGTCTATACTCGCAAAGTTCTGAGCGTTATTCAGTACAAATAACATTATTAATATGTATTGTCATGATAATTATGTCCATGACGCCAACATCGTATGTATCTTGTGTACATGGCCAGATGCCAAATATGGCTTGAGTCTGTCTGTTACGAGACAGGGGTAAGTAAAAATACTGTATGGACAAAGGACATACCACGTACGTTGCCAGTTTCATTTCCAAGTAATAATGATAGCTATAGCAGGAGGTAGAACGCCTACTGCACTTCAAACACAGACACAGGCATATCGTATCAACATACATCATTATTGCTAGTAGTTTTTGCAGTAATAAAAGCTTAGGTGTGATGAATGACTTTTTCGCCTTTGGTTGTCTATTGACAGTGTCAGGGGCAATTGTTTGTTTGACTGATGAGGTTTTATCACGTAATGGAAATACGGCCTTCGTAGTGCTTGCTTTACTGGCAAGTTCACAATATCCTGTATCGGTGTGTCAATAACCTCAACGATTTACTTGACACCAGTTATGTATTTAGTGAGAAAAGGTGTCAGGAAACAGAATTTTTTATCACTCACTGAATTGATGAGAAGCTACTGGTTCTATGGCGGGATAGTCATCAGTGCGGTCAGGGGTTGATGGGCAAAGCTTGAATAGAATCCTTGGATGACGTACGTAGTAATAATGACAAGGACAAGTGGAATCTCTATCGAAAACTACATGAGGTTTATCGCCTTTTTCACCGTGCAGGCAGGTTATACTTGGTTTCCCATTAGGTCCACATGATTCCAACCCTGGTCTCCGGCCAAACTCTTCAGCCACAAGGCTATCTCGCCACCCTCTGTGGTGGGAACGGTATTGACCATGAACATGTCACGCTGGTGTAGGTTCCTGCGCCTTTTAATACGTTTTTAACATGAGGTGTGCGCCGACCCTGTCTTGACTATCCAGGATATGGAGGGAGTTATTTGACGCATTTGTACAATCTATGGAGGCAGACTCTGCCTGAAGTGAAAACTCCTACTTTCCCAGTGAAGTCATCCGTATTTACAGATTTACAGATGTTGGGTTCTCAGGGAGGAACGACAAACGCGGGAGCAGGGAGACGAGCCTGCCACTTGACCGGCTGTTTATTCCGACTGTCGCATGTTACATAACAGCACGTGATTGCGCTTACCTGCAACTAATCGCATTACAAGAGCGGACATCTGTTGGCCTGTCATAATATTATACACTAGCTTGTTTAAAACTACTGCGTTTCAATTACAGATATAACATCCGCCCCTCCTAAATTTAAGTTACTTTGAAACCAAAATAATAATCTTTGATAAACAACATAGTCCACGGAACTTCATAAAGTATAAGTAACTTAACAATGTACACTGACTCTTGTAAAGTACTAATAACCCTGTGACTTGACAAGTCAGTCATAATGAAAACATTGTTAAAGTAGAAAGTGAAATTTAACTAAACTGAGCTTTTTTTTTCGACACATAATAATACTGATAACCTGCTGAAGTATTATAGTCCTGATACAAGTAACTGTAATTCACAGCTAAATCAAATGCCACCTTGACACATAGTTCACTGCAAATGACAGTCACAGTTCACTCAAATGTCACTTTGACACAAAGTCCCTCAGATAAGACGGTTGCTGCTTCACTCTGGTTGAACGACGAAGTATGGGTGCTACAGGCGATGTCACTACCGGCGTTTCCTCCCCCGGTTCAGACATATCTGGTACACTTGAAACATCCCCTTGGATACTTTCCTCATGGGAATCTACCTGTGATGTGTCAGGTAAGTCTGATTCATACTCCTTCCTTCGTGAAGACTGTGATTCTAGCGGAGTGTCTGAACGTTCAATCACGTCCCTTCGGGGTGAAGATAAAGACATCCTGCGTCTGACATGATCCACATGCCTTCTGACCCATCTTCCATCCGTTAACTTGATGATGTACGACAATGGACCAGTTACACTATCAACTTGTCCACTAATCCACTTTGGACCTGAAGCAAAGTTCTTAACCCACACCGAGTCATTCACTTGGAATGCCCTACATTTCGTTAGAGCTGACTGATCCACAAGTTTTCTCTGGTTCTTTTTCACCTTTGAGGCAAGGTTTGGAAACATCAAGTCCAATCGCGAACGCAATCTGCGTCCAAGAAACAACATTGAAGGTGATACACCAGTTGTAGACTGTGGTGTAATTCTATAAGAAAATAGTAACCTATGTAGTTGAGTTGCAACTGTGTCACCAGTTGTCTTCTTTAATCCATCTTTTATTATTTGAACCGCCCTTTCTGCTAAGCCATTCCCAGCCGGGTGATGAGGGGATGTTGTCACATGTTCAACTCCATTTCTGGACATAAATGTAGCAAATTCTTCCCCAACAAAAGCTGTAGCATTATCAGTTACAATAATTTCTGGTATGCCATAAGCTGCAAACATCCGACGCAGCTGGTTTATTGTAGCCTTTGCATTTGACGACGACATAGGTGCACATTCGATCCATTTGGAGTAGGCGTCAATCACTATAAGAAACATGCTACCCATGAATGGACCCTCATAATCCATATGCAGTCTTTGCCAAGGTTGAGAAGGATACTCCCAAGGGTGTAGGGGAGCTACACTCGGACAATTCCTGTCTTCCTGGCAGGAATCACAACTGTTTACTGTTGTTTCTATGTCAGCATCTAGATGCGGCCACCAAACATAGCTTCGGGCCAAGCCCTTCATCCTGGTGATTCCTGGGTGGGACTGATGCAACTCTGACAATATGACAGATCTGAGTTTCAATGGAATGATGACCCTCGAACCTCTCAATAAGCATCCATCCATCACACTGAGTTCAGAACGAACTCTGTAGTACGGCTCATAGTGGTCATCCAACTTATCACGCTGCGGCCAACCTCGGATCACAAATTCTCGAACAATAGACAATGTTCGGTCCTTGCCAGTCTGGATACTTATGTCTTTAGACTTCAGAGGGCATGTGTCCAATTCCTGAAGCATTAAGACTGTCATGTCTTCCATAGGCTTCCCTGAGTCAGGCGCTGGCAACCTGCTCAATGCGTCTGCATTGGTATGCTGTGTACCTTTCCTGTGTACAATTTTATAGTCATATGCAGTCAACAACACTGACCATCTCTGAACTCTTGGAGACACCATCTGTGGCACTGGATTATTCTCATTGAATAATGACACCAACGGCTTGTGATCTGTCACGATCTGGAAATGACGTCCATAAACATACTTATGAAACTTTCGCAGTCCAAAGATCACACTCAGTCCTTCACGATCAAGTTGAGAATAATTCTGCTCTGCCTTAGTCAGTGTCCTTGAAGCAAAACTTATAGGTCT